TAGAGGCCATATGTGCCAGTGGCTTTCGTGTGAGTTGCTCCACAGGGGTTATGAAATGATACTGCACTAATGTCATAGATGATTATGTTCATGATTACCATGTATCCATGCCCACAGACTACCTGAGGAGTGCCCTACAACTTTTCAACAGTGCAGCACTAGTACCTTGGGAGTTCTTAAAAATCTCAAAAGAGGGCAAATTCTTGTCTTTTTAAATCTAACTCAGGTGGGAATTCCCATTCAGGTGGGAAATCAAAAATTAAGAATTTAATTCTCAAACACCCACCTTCATGAAATGCGGGTTTGAATTTCTGTTCCAAGCATTGGAAATACTCTTCTTGATCCACGAATTTCAGGGACACAGAAGGCTTAGAGTCTACTCCCAGGGAGTGTTGCTTTTGCCCATTTAATGAATCCCTTTGAGCCGAGCATCTGTGCTCTGTGAGCTGTGCCAAGTACCTCAATTCTTGTTGTACTGAACCAGTTCTGAAGGGTCAATGCCAATCTTACACCTAGTGACAGAAGTTTGGGGGAGTTACTAATTTAGTATTGGCAAAATGTTTCACCCTGCCTGTGGTAATGATCTTAGATGTGGTGGGCTTGCAACCACAGAGAACCTAATCTAGTGCTCCAAATGTTTTGTAGTCCATAATTCCAATGTTTGTAGTGGCATATCTAGCAAGTGCATTTTTTGTTCGGTTCCTCTTTTAATAAATGGAAAAGGAAAAGTGAGTTGCCATAGCCATGTAGTGTAATTTTATAATGTTGGCATAAGGCCACAGCGGCTAAGAGAGTAAGAAGTAGGCATGGGCACCATTTTTAAAAAGGCCTGGGTGAAGGGAAAATAAAACAGAATTTGAAATGAAATTCTCAAGGTACTGCTGGGCAGCAGGGTCACAAGAAAGATTAGGAAACATAAATACTTTTTTTCTCCTTAGACTTACATTCTCACATGTGGGGTAGAGGAGAGAGACACAATAAAGACACAATAAAGAAATAAACAAGGGGACAAGATTTTTTTAGATATACAAAATTATGTGTTTCAGAGAGATTTTCCTTGAAGGAATTCCTCTCATTAGGTGGTCAAGGAAAGCCTTTCTTGGGAGCTGAATTTGATGTGAGATTAAAATGTAAGAAGTTAGCCCTAGCTGGTTTGGTTCAGTGGATAGAGCATCGGCCTGTGGACTGAAGGGTCCTGGGTTTGATTCCAGTCATGTCCACATATCTAGGTTGCAGGCTCCTCCCTGACCTGGGCCCTGGTTAGGGCTCATGCAGAAGGCAACCAATCAGAGTGTTACTCCCACTTGGATGTTTCTCTCTGTCTTTCCTTTTCTCTTCCACTTTCTCTAAAAAATATCAATGGAAAAATATCCTCAGGTGAGGATAAAAAAAATAATAAAGAAATGGTATATCAAAAAAGTAGAAGAAGAAGAGGCATATGAGTGTGTGTGTGTGTGTGTGTGTGTGTGTGTGTGTGTGTGTGTTTAGTGGGGCGTAGAGAAGTACAGAAGGTGCAAAGGTCCTGAAGCAGGAGCCAACCTACTAGTCAATGAAGAACACAAAGGGAGCCAATAACCTGAAGCCAAAGAGCAAAGGGGAGATGAAGTTAGAGTGCTAGAAGGAGCCCAAATGACATATTGTCCTGGGCCATAAAGTTAGATTTAGATCTTATTCTAAGAGCAATATTTTTTTTAACAGGAAAGCAACAAGATCTGGTTTATGTTTTAAAGACAATTCTGGCTAGTATGTGGAGAGTGATAGAGTGTAGGAATATTTAAAAGCTATAAGTTAGAATTCAGAAGGTTGTTTTATTATCCCAGGTAAGAGAAATGGTAGTCTGGACTGGGATGATGATTGCAAAGGATGAGCACACTGGTTGAATGTCAGATATATTTTGGAGCAGAGTTGATAGGACTTATGCTAGAACTTACAGTTGCTTTACTAGAAAAATAAATGAAGAGAAATATTAAGGATAGCTCAGGGTTTTTTTTTTTTTAATTTAATTCCTGGGCAGATACCAATATTATTCCTTCAAATGCACCATACTATGGGGGAAATAGGTTTGCAGACATTTTTAAAAAATTGTGGATGAAATTGCACAATAAAAGCTGTTAATTAATTAATCCATAAAGTTTTAAATCAAGTTCTCCTGGAAAAAAATAAGTTAAGGTTGCCTTATAGAGAAATTTTAATTTTATATAAAGCACTTAAGATTTCACATTTGTATGAATCATTAATGATGCCAACAACAAAAAATTAAGCTTGAACTTAAGTGTAAGTCTATTTTCATAGGAGAATCAACAAACCTTAGCTCAACCAGGATGACAGATGAATCTGCAATTAGACCTCACTGTGTGTGGGGGTTTACTAAGAAGAAAACATTTTTAAACTTTAACATAATGTTGAGCTCTACTGGTAAATATTTAAATAAGAATGTTTTAAATCTTTGTGCTTCCAGAAGGGGTAGAGCCAAAAGCCCTCTCTCCACCCCACAAGAAAAGCAAAGCCAAGAAGCCGGAAAGTTCCAAAGACTCTAGCGAGGGTAAGTCATGCTTCTCCTTTCTTTAATAAATCCTGCCGGCAAAAAAAAATTCTCTTTAATTTTTAAATTATGTGTATGCTGTCATGTTTGCATATATTTCTAAGGTCCAAAAATCACAGGACAATTCTTTTTCTTTTCCTAATATGTTTACTCTCTCCTAAATGAGATTTTAAAAAATCAAATTTAAGTTTAATTTGTTAAGGTAAAAACCAGATTTTTTTAAAAAATTGTTTTTTCTCAGTGTGATTTACATTTCTCATTTCTGCCAAGCACGGAGCTAGGAGTAGCGTTCTGAAATCCTGCGAGGCTGAAGTCGAGACCTATACATGATGAGCAGTGCCATGGCTGTTGGCTTATTGTGATCATTTGTTTTTCTCACGAACACATTCTGAGTCCAGCATCAGACCTCAGCATTAGGTGGTGGAAATGCTTCCTGTCTTTAGGGTTTTCTTCCGTTTTCTAGAAGCCAATGTATCTTTGCACTCAGGCATTGAATAAGCAGGTTCAATTGGACTCAGTTTTATAAAGAAATGGCTGTCTCTCTGTTACAACACTGGTATCGCTTTCAAGATGGTCAAATTTTTCCTTTAAAATGTAGGTGAGAGGAGAAGATTTGACTTTGGCTGGTGGGCACACGGTACAATATACAGATCTTGTGGCATAGAAACCCACACGAAACCTAGATGTTCAGGTTGACTAATGTCACCACAATCAATTTAATAAGAAAACAACAACAAATAAATAAAATGTGGGTGAGGCATTTTTTAAGCGATCCACTAAGCTAAGAGCAAGCATAACCTTCTAAAAGGGTAACACACTTACGCATTCTATTACCTTGCTTGGAACCCCACTTCATCCACTGTGAAATAGAGAGAATAATAATGCTGACAGTGTCAGCTTTGGTCTTCCCGGAGGGTGATGCCAAGATGAAGTAGAAGTGCAGGAAAGTTAGAGGGGGAAAGTGTGTGAAGGATAAGGAGGAGCAGGAGTGAGAGCAGGCATAGGTGGAAGGAGAGAAGGGAGGGAGGAGCATTCGCCGGGAAGAGCCTCAGTCTGCTTTGCAGGCAGAAAGTCTGGGGTGGTCCAGAGCAAGGGTTGGTCATCAGAGGAGCCATGCTCAGGGCAGG